GATAGTAGCAACTTTTGGCTTTCCTGGGTGAAAGCATATCTCTGGGGATACAAGAACTCGTAGTCTCTGATGGCTGCAAGTCTATGGGATTACAGAGGGGGTAGGAACCAGGATACGGGGCATTCCAGATGCTGTTGATTCCCAATGGGTGTTGGTCTCTGCTGCTCCCTAATGACTGCTATTCCCCAGTCTCTGAGAATGCAGGTGGAGATGTGACCTGGTGAATGGAGTGGCCCAGAAGATGGTGCTTGGAGCATGGTTCTGTTCCCTGGTGGTTACTGGTCCAGGAAATGAGGCAAGCCTGGTAGATAGTTGGGCACAGATGGCTTCAGGCAGACCACACCAGCAGGTTTCTGCAGCTGGTCTGTAGCAGGCCAGGACCTGGGAAACAGGTCCTCACCTGCTGTTCCCTAGTAGTTTTTGGTCCCAGGAAATGGAGTGGGCCTAGCAGATGGTGTTTGGAGCATGCTGCTGTTCCCTGGTGTCTTCTGGCCCCAGAAAATGGAACAGCCTCATAGGTGGAATGGTCTTGGAAGTTCCTAGGCAAACCATGCCTGCCCTCCATGATAACTTTTGAAGCAATAGCATCTTGAACTTCATGACTTTTCATTCCTATGTCTTGGCAGGCTATTTCTCCAACAATTTCTTTACAATTGATACCCAGAATTTTAAACTATTTAGACCTTTTGCATTAGAAGAAGAGCCAGGTCTTCTGTTTTTCGGTTTTTTTTTTTCTCCCTCAATTTATGAAGTTTGAAGTTTCTAACATTCTTCCTGCCATTCTACATATGGAGTAGAATTTCTATAAACAAGTTGCCTTTTAGGACAGAAAGTTTAAAAAACTAAGAAGCGTATAAGCCGGGAAGCCTCAGAGTTAAAAAGGGAGAGGTTAAATTAGTTCTTCAACTTATTTAAATGTCACTGGGGAGAAGGGATCTTGGTAAATACGTTTTTGAAGGAAAAAAATAATAAGAGATACTGACTAAAGCATATGTTGCATTTCTGTCCAAGGACTAGCATATCTTCTGTGGATTTTTATGCTTTCATCACGCATAAAATGTGGCTTGACTGACCAGAAGGTTGGCTGAGATTCAATATTGGTATAGCCCAGGCATTTCAGGAAATCGTGTACTTTGAATCAGAATTATGTTTCACTGAGATCATTCTATTACAGCTAATATTTCATCAGGTGCAATGTCTGCTAAGCCACCAACACATAATTTCAAGGTCATATGCACTTGAGATATACATATTAAAAGATATAGATGTATATCCTCAATTTTAGTTTTTACATCATCCATCATCAAACAATTGATCAATCTTGCTAGTTATTATCCATCTATCTATTTATCTATCTAATCTATCTATCTATCTATCAATCTATCTATCTATCTATCTACCAATCATCTATCTGTGTGTACAGGCAAATATGTGGAAGTCAGAGGGTCAATTTCAGAGACTGCTTCTCACTGAGGCAAGGTCTTTCTTGTTTCTGCTACTATGTTGGGTAGTACTTCTCCTGACTAGCTGGCATAAGGACCTTCCAGCTAATTATGCTGTTTCTGCCTCCCACCTCTCTACAGAAAGACTGAAATTGCAGATGAAAGTCACCACATCAGGTTTTTATGTGGGCTCCAGAGATTCCACTCTGTTTCTAAGTCTGTGCAGCAAGCAATTTACAGCCTGTCCCATTTCCTTGGCCCCACACCCAGCAATTTTGTCCAGGTTTCTTCTTTACAAGATTAATAAACATATAAACACTGACACCAGTATATTTAGAGGAAAACCATTCAATTACAGCTTTCCAACTATCATCCATGAGTTGAATATACTTGAAGTACTTTGCTTCAAACAAAATAGGAATTCTGGAAGCTCAAAAAGATTTTGGAAATTAGTTTACAAACAAGGATTATGAAAACCATTAGAAATTTCTGAACATATTGAAGTTTAATTGTCTTTATTGTCAGGATCCTTCTCAGGCTTGTTATTTTACCTGCTTCAAACAAACCCATTTTTAAAGATGGAGGCGAGCTAGAAAATGTTGCAGTATGGCAATCTTAGTTTCCTAGAGCCTACTTAATGCTGTTTGAAACCTAAGAAAAAAAATTATGGAAATCTTAGATTAACTTTAGTTTGCTCTGCCCCACGGTCACCAGTTTCCAAAGCTCCTTCACAGCCATAATCACTCTGTCCTCATGGCTAGCAGCAGATGTAATAGGTGGCAACTGTAAAAATCTCAATACAACAAAAAGTAACCGAAACCAACTCAGTTCAAAAGTATCTTCCTAAGTCAGATTTTTCAAGGTTTCTATGTAGATTCTTAAATAAGATTTAAAAATTCAATAAGCTCTCTCATAAATTTCTTTTTGTTTATAGAAAATATCTTAGCTCTTCCCAATAGCAGATTATTTAAAAGTTCAATTTGTAAGAAGACACCTTGAAGAGTAACTAATATTTTTTACAGTCCTTACTACATGCCCAGGGCTTTCCTGGATTCTTTGTGTATACTGAAGAAGGCATTTGGTTTTCAGAGCTCTATCTGAAGTGAGTACCTTATATGTTTCTTTTGCAATAAAATCCTACTCAGTTCCTGAGTTCAGTGGTTAGACGTCAGATAGGGTTTCCCAGACAATTTTGTGTAGAGAAACTGAATTACTTAAATCTACTTTAGCTCCCCTACTTGAATGAAATGGTCTTAGGCGAAAGGCCAAGAATTTAAGTAGCAAAGTAGCAAGTCTAATTTTAATTTATTTGTTTGTTTATTCGATTGTTTTTTGACACAGGGTCTCACTGTATAACCTTGGCTGGCCTGGAATTGACTGCAAAGACCAGGTTGGCCTCAGACTCACAAAATTTTCCTGCTGTTGCCTTATGAGTTCTGGGATTAACGGTATCACACACAAGTGTAATTAAAAAGACAAATGAAAATGCCCTAGGATAAGACCTTAGAAGTAGAGAATGCAGTTAGAATCATCACAGTTTGTCTCAGGGAACATGCACAGCAGAGGGAGTGGGAACTAGTTCACCAGAAGGACAGCTGTGAAAGTCTGTCATTGGAATGCTTGAAGAAACAGGACTAAATCATGTCAATATCAATAGACAGGCAAATGGTGAATAGGAGAAATCTCACTCAGGGTGTTGCACTTCTAGACAGAGACTTCAGGCAACTAATGACTGCTGGGAGGAGAATTAACCTACTCAGGGATGAGGCTCCAAAGTGGTTAACTGCCACATCATAGCACACAGACAAAAAAAGGGAGGGGCAAGAAGTAGGAGAGGGCATGGGATCTAATTAATTAAAAGTGTATTAAGAGTCAAAAGTATAGAATTATCTATTTCACAGATGCAGAAACAGATGCAGACAAGTAAAGGAATCTTTCTGGGATTTAACAAATATCAGACAGATCCAGCAGATTCTGGCCACTATGGCTTTGGGCTGTGCCAGAAACAAAATATCCAGGTTAATTTTTCCCCTTTGTCACGTAAACATGTTCTGTAGGTTTTTTGGACCTTTGTTTGGGAAGGTTTATCAGAGAGCTCAGTGTCAGCAGACTATGATGGTTTGCTTTATTGGTGCTACTATAAACAAGTTGTACACAACAAACCTTTGCTGCATGGCTTAGTCTGGGAAGATGGTTTGTCACTTATGAGCTGTCTTTACTGAAGTCCATCAACCACAGGGGAGGGAGACACTATCTGCCTATTAGGAAAATACGCCTCCCAGTGTAGAATAATCTTCGCTTTGAGTACAGAATAATCGGAGCTCTTGTTCTTGCCTATTCCTCTTGCCTGAAAAGTTAGGGTCTATTCAAACCATTGTTCTCAACTCAGGATGATCGTAAGAAGTGGTGCCAGAGCTAGTTAAGTTCATATATATACTTTGCAAAATTTCCTGAAGTATTTCATGAATGGTGGCGATTATACATTAGACTTCACAGAGCCCCCACAAAACAGAAAGGCAAGACATTATATAAAAATAAAATTATACTCAGTAACAGTCACAAAAACTGTTTTTTGGAGGCCTATAAGCTAATGGCTTTAGCTGTCCATGCAGAATATCCGATTCCTTATCAACACAGAAAGTCAAAGAATTTTGGCAAACTCTAGGAGGTTCAAGAAGCTGGACTTTAAATGTAGTATACCTGGGCTGAGTAAAGCAAATCTACAATCCTACACACAGTAGGCAAAATCAAGAGAATTATAAGTCAAAGGCCAGACAAGGCCAGACAGTAAGGCCCTGTCTCAAAACATCAAAAAAGCAAACAAAAACTTCATCAACATAATAAAAGATAAAGCTACAATGCATGTTTTTAGAGTGTTACTTTCCTTCAAGGGCAGAGAAATTGTCATTTAATCAGCTGCAATTTAAAAAAAAATGATATTTGGGAGGCAGAGGCTGACAGATCACTGTGTGTTTGAGGCTAGCCTGGTCCACACAGCAAGTCCCTTGCCAGCCAGGGCTACAAATGGAGACCCTATCTCAAAATAAAGAAAATCATATAGGTTTAACATAGCAAGTCTTAAGACTCAGCCTGCCAAGTTAGACTGAGCACACAACTAACATCCCAGGCGATTAAATAGTATCCCCAGTGCTCTGGAAAAAATGGAATCAACAGATCTGGGTCTTGGTTATGACTGCGTCACTTATTAGCTGTGACACTCAGTATAAAGTTCCTTGCACTTGGTCTAAATCACTGTCTTTATCTGTGTGAGGAGCTTAGGTAGAATGACTGCCCTGGTTTTCTTGAGCCTCAAAAAGCTTTTGGTTTATGACATTATTGTAGAACTCTGATGGCATTGCCTAATTTGTCTGTCACATTACTTTAAATAGATGTCAGCTGTTTACTCAGCATAATGATTTCATGTCACTGCAAAACATCTGTAGACCTCCCAAAGAGCTACTCAAATCTAAACAGTATAGTTCACTCATTAAGCTACTATTATTCACCAGTGAAGGCCGACCAACATTTCCAAATACAGAAGACACATGACAAGAAATGTTTCAACATGCAGGTATTATGAAAACCCTTTATTTTCTGTATGAATTTAGAGTTCACTAGGTATTGTCAGAAGATACCCCTTGACATAAGGTTAAAAGCTTTTGTTTTATTTATTTATTTGTTTGTTTATCTGTATGTTCATGTAAGTATGGAAGCATAAGCCGGTACAGAAGCCAGAAGCCAACTGTGGCTATAACTTCTTAGGAACACTCACTTGATTTTGACACAGATCACTTTACTAACCCGGAACTTGTTCATTTAACTACACTGACTGACCAGTAAGCTCCAGAGATCCACCTGTCTCTGTCTCCTTGGTGCTAGGATTACAAGTGTGTCAGCATGTCTGGCATGGATCCTGAAGACTGACATTAACTCCTCATACTTGCACAGCAAGCACTTTTTGCAGCTGACCTATTTTTCCTGTTCCCTAGGTTGTCTCCTACATGACATATTTTCTTTGTCTTTCCTCCTTAAAAAAAAAAAAAAATGCATCATGGAATATAAATGCTTCTAAGGGAAGGAGTCAGTGACAAAAATTCTTGTAAACACATATAGAAATTCTGTAGTACTGATCATTGTAGATGACCAAAAAAATTCATTATTTGACAACTTAACCATTGCTCACAAAAGTCTTATATAACCATGTACCTATTTAAAAAAAAAAAAAGAGTGGTTCAGTTGATGGGAAGGATAAGAAAAAAAAAAAAAATCAAGCATGATTTTTAAATTTAAAGGCAAAAGTCTTCATGGAAACCTAGTGCTAAGCTTCTGAAATTGCTGTTGTAAAGTCTCAATCCTGTGACTAAATCACTCTGCGAACGATGAAGACCAGTAACACTGGGAGCTGCGTCCTACAGTTTAGGAATTGGTTTGGCTGCCACGGCTATGCTCTCAATGGCACACTCATCGGTCCCTCTGCGGATCCGGAAGTAGCCGCTTTCACCCCACTGAGTGCCCCAGCTGTTCTTCACAGTCCAGTACTCTGTCCCAGTGGCTGGATCTCTTCCATAGCCCACGAGCAGAACAGCATGATTGGTCAGCTCAAAGGGGTTGAAAGGGTCTCTCAGCCCGGTGTGGTGGTAGATTCCACTGCGGTAGTGCAGGAAGTCGTCATGGACTTCGAAGGCAACGGCTAGGGGCCCATGCTGGACCAGCTCGAGCTTCATCAGGGCTTCATTGCAGCCACCGTAGAAGCCACCCACATAGTAGTAGTCAGAAGAATAGTAGCGGAGGCAGTTGTCTTTTGGTTTGCACGGGGCATCTGCGGCTAAGTAGGGGAAGCAGTTTTCTTCCACCACTCCAAAATCTTGGGCGTACTTGCCCGCAATGAGGTAGGGGAACCCACCATCGCAACCTGAGAATGAAAGCACACATCGTCACTCTCCTTACGCTGGAAGAAGGCAGGTACAGCTTCCGCTGGGTCCTCCCTTTCTTTTCTGTTCCTTGGAAGTGGTTCTGAGTTTAAATATCACTTCGGTCTTCCTTCCTTACACATTCATCTAACAATTCCCCAGCCGAGCTCTTTAACAGGCATTCATTTAGCACTTCATAAGGAAAGTAGCTACTCTAGCATAGTAGTTGACTGAGGAGGGCTCTGAAACCAAAAATAGGTTCAAATCTAAAAGTGTGCGAACTACTTAATGTATCTGTACCTCTGCTTATTTATCTGTCAAATATAGATGGTGACAGCACTATTGTTGAGGTTTAGAATAGTTAATTCACGTACAAACAATCACGTTAGTGAGTGCAGTCATTGCCAAATAGACACACACACACACACACACACACTGACTCAAGCAAATCTCCTGGACAACTGCCTACCAAGACTCCTCCCATCTCCCTCTTCACCCTGGGCCCACAAACTTGTACTTCCATCATTGTTCTCATCATTGTAATTATTTAACTTCTGCTTCTGTTGCCTAATTGCACACTTCACGAGCCTAAGAAGAGTTATGCTATCTCATAGCTTCCAGGGCCTAGACATCCTAATATGGTATGTAGTATTTCAGAGAGAATGAAAAGCTCGCTGACAGTCATTCACCAGAAGTTTCACTGGAAGCCATGAGACTTCCCAGTGGCCACATAGAAGCAGGTATCAGAAAACTTTAAAATGGTAGTATTTTAGATAGTATTTCCTTCTAAATATTGTTTAATATTCTGTATAGCCTGTTCTGAAAGACTAAGTACAAGGAGATAAATTCTCTTAAAAAACAAAGCGATATTAGGAACAGGGTTGTGGAAAGAGATCACGTTTGGAAGCTGAAGCTGTATCATTTTCCTGAGAAAAATTTGCTTATGTTCATTCTGTGCTTTTGAATAAGGTCTGTGCCTGCTTTTTACAGTCTTATACACTGTCAGGTGATTCTGTAAGAGGCAGTACTCACTTGATGTATTGACGTCTTGCTGTGGGATGCAGTGGATCCCATGAGATACCGTCCACTGATAATTGATGGGGCCAGATTCAAACCAGGGATTTATGGCCACAGGCCCCATATTTTTCTGCTATGCTACCCCTTTAATTTTTCTAGCTGTTTATATACAAATAGCTCATATCATAGCTCTGAAATAAAACACTTACCTTGGGCATACTGGCTACAAGACACAACCTCCTGAGGACTCAGGATTGGGGTCTGAGAATTGTTGGTTAATATACGAATTCTTGATTCTAGCATTCCCATAGAGGCAAATGAGTAGCAGCTTCCACAAGATTCTGTAGATGACGAAAAAATAATATGTATGCTATTTATTTTAATTTCACAAAGAAACACAAAAACCTGAGTGAAGGAGGCACCTTAATATAGGATTTAAAATAAAAGTTATTTTTTTAAATAAAAATTAGCACAATATAGAAGATAATCTACAAGCATTGAACCTGACATGCTTCTGGACAAAAAAGAATGGATTTATGTCTATAACAGTTTCAGTCAGTGGAACACATGTGAGCTAAACTTTAAAAAAAAATTCTAATGCAGTAACCTGAGTTTATCCAAAATTCATTGAAATTCTAAGCTCTGGTGCCAGGAGTTGGGGGCAGTCCTCATGAATGGGATCAGTGCCCTGTAAAAGATACTGTGAGATCTATTGGCAAGGGCCAAATGAATTTATGAGAAGCATCTGCTAGGAAGACAGTTGCCATTCCAGGAAAAGGAAAAATAATGTATTATAAAATAATGTATATGAACAATGCTACTTTTCTATATGTTTCTTCAAAGTGCCTGGGTAAAAGAAATAAACATCAAGCATAGTAAAACTGGATGTCTCCTTGCTATAGTTTTTAAATAAATGAATACAGCTTTATCCTTCTACTGTTGCACAGACTCTTTCGCCTCTGCCATTGATACAAAGATTACATGGCGATACGGTCATACCCAATCTAGGATGTATATCATTCAGTTTATTATATTAGTTTTACAAAACTACTAAAGTGCTAAGCGCTTCATTATAAATCCAAAGATTTATGAAGTCAATTTAACTAATTTTCCATATATAGGTATTTTTAATAAATCTGATTATTTGTAATTTGGTAGCCACCTTGTTTCCAAAAAAGCACTTTGAAAACTTTTGTTTTAAAATGTTAGCAAGAATATTGTTTTTCCGTCTCCTGGTAATGATTCACGAACCTCCTGCAAGCAAAGAAAAGCCAGGATGCTGTTTAAACTCCACTATCATAAACCCTATTTGAAATGCTCAGACTATTTTTCCTCACACTAAGCTGGGATTTCCTCGAGTGCTCTTTATCTTGCCATGTGACACAGTGAAGGGCTCAGTGCGTGCTTGTGGAAAGAATGAGTCAAGAGATGACAAGTAGGTACATATTTACAACCCAGAAATAAAGTAAATTCAAGGGTAGCTATCAACCATCTACTTATCTCTGAGCTCCAGAGGAAGCAGAACTGTGGATCCTAGCTTGAGCCTACTCCTACAGGTCACAGTACCACAAGACCCTGAGCACGATCCACCAAGCATCTCATTCCTTCTTAACTGCTACCTCATTTGATCTTCCTCCCAATTCTCCCTTCTAAAACTCTCATATTTACCCATGTTACACACTGCTCCCGCTGCTGAGCAATCATCTAAATTATGAAGATGAAAAGATAAACACCTGTCAGGTGACTTAGAAGGCACTACTACAAAATCTACTCACTTGACAACTAAGTCAATGGCCTGTCCATCAGCTAACCGATAGCAGATGTTCGTACCTTGTTTTCTCTTAGTGCGGGGCTAGTAGCCTTTGCTTTTTTTTTTTTAAATCACTGTAATTTTGAATCACAACTTTGTTTGTTCATGAACAAAGGATAAGCCCTGAAAGAGCAGAAACTGTATTATTGTTCACCTTATCTGAAGAACTACAAAGCAAAAACACGTTTTCTTTTCCTGTTTGGCTTTTGTTTTTGAAATCTACTTCAGATATGCTTTCCTTGTCATGTAATCACTACATAGAAGATTAACTCTGACCTTGTGGTTTCCAAACCATCTAGAAAATACTTCCTCTGGACTCCTCCTTAAAACAAAGCAATGTCAAGGAAGAAATGAGTGACCAAATAACCAAAGCCACGATCATGTACAACAGACACCTGAGTCCTATTAACCACGAGTTTTCTCAGCTTTTAGCAGCCGTGGAGATAAAGCCTGTAAGTATTAATCATTAAACCCACATTATCTGATTATATGATGGGAGGGAGAGGTCACAAGTATAGACCATGGCTCAGAATGTGCTTTGATTAGAAATCACAAGGAAATTTTCTCTTTAAGTCCCTGACTTTCTGGAAAGACTGTCAACTGCTAAGATAATCATTGCCTAGAGTCCGATGGAAGGGGAGGAGGACCTACCCTATCATTGGACTGGGGGAGGGGCATAGGAGAAGAAGAAGAAGGAGGGATGGTGGCATTGGGAGGGATTGGGAGGGGGCTACAGCTGGGATAGAAAGTGAATAAACTGTAATTAATAAAAATTAAAAAATAATAATCATTGCCTCCTTTGGGAAAAAAAAATCCAGTTTAGGGTCTAAAAGAAACATAGTATGTACGATGACTATAATGCAATAAGTAAGAAGGGGCCTCATTCCCAGAAATCTTGGCGTGGGACCCCACCTCCAAAGAGACAGAACATGGTTTCCACATGATCGCAACCTCCAGCAATAGGGAACATGCTTTGTCCCTCATTAGCCATGTGACCCAGGGTAAGGCTTAGCCCCTGGCATTTATTTTCATTTTTGTGCAAAGATAGATTAGGCAGAGTGAACAATTTAAGGGCCTTGACTTCTTGCACTAATGAGCAACATTTATAAGCAAGACCTAAACAGAGTTGACTCTAAATATCCACATTACCTAATGTGGCGATCCCATCCTGCAGAGCTACTCTACTCTCCCAGATACAAAAAGACCTAGGGGAAAACAAAGTAAATACATCTCCAACTTTTCTCTCCCCACTTCAGCCTAAAGGTAATCTGGTAATAAGGAATTTATAAAGTCGTTTTAAGGTGTAAATGTAAAACTTCATTTGCCTTTCCAATATTTACTTCTGCTTTAATCTTAATTTGTTCACAGATGAATGGAAAGTTGTGAATTCCCTTAACTATGGCTAATATAGACTGGTATTATGAAAGTGGGAAATTTGCAAGTACCTCAATTAATAGGAAGAGAAAAAAAATCATTGTCTTTTCAACTCTGAAGTATAAGAGAAATATCAAAAAGAAGTTAAAAGAGGAACTTCTAGGTAGGTGTGTTACTTCCTCAAGCACCTGATATTACAGTGCAGGTGAGAGACTGGTTGAAAAGCCATCAATTCACAAATGACTTGTGTTTTGAAATTTCCATTTGTGGTACAAATTGTATTTACAAAACACAAAGAATGGGGAGATTTGGGGACTATCAGAGCTTTTACCAATTTTCCAGAAAAACAATGTCAAAAAACTTCCTTCAAAATATCTCATCTTCTTCCCCTGGATTACTGTCTCATAGCACCTGTCTATAAATGTGGGGGGGGGGGAGACACTCTACCCTTCCCCACTGAATGCCTCAATCCCCTTACTAATGTGAGTATCATGTTCTACTTGAATGTTTTGCTTGTATGTCCTTCTAAATTCTATGTCTTGGGGAAAAAAAGCTATTACCCTTTAAACAGAGGGCTCAGTGGGTAAAGTGCTTGATATGCAAACACAAGGGCCTGTGTTCAGATCACCAGGACCCGCACAATAGCTGTGAGTGGTGGCATAGGTCTGTAACCCCAGAACTGGGTTGATGGAATCAGGCTTGCTAGGCAGCACTGACCATTGCGAGCCCCAGGGTCAGTGAGATGATGTTTCACAAAATAAGGTGCACTGTCAAGAGGACGACATCCCTCATCAACCCCAGGTCTCCACACACCCAGGAGACTGCAACTGCCCATACATGCACACACACCATACACAGAAGCTTCCTGACGTCTTATCAAATTACGACAAGTAACCAAAGGTGCGCCATCAAAGTATTCACAGCTCATATTATTTGCCAGTCGCTATCAATAATGAAATCAACACAAGACATTCATTACTTCCCTAATTTTTTCTATCGTAGTTAGGGCTTCTATTGTTGTGGTACAATACCATGACCAAAAGCAATGTGGGAGAAAAGGGAGTCTATTACATCTTATCCTTCCAAGTAATGGTCTACTATGAAGGGAAATGAGGGCAGGAACTCAAGGTAGAAACTGGTGGAGAAGCCATTAGAGAGTTCTGCTTATTGGCTTGCTCTTCATGGCTTATTTGGCCTTTCTGATAGCACTCAGGTCCACCAAGGTCATAGGTGGCACCTCCCAGAGTGATCTGGACCCTCCCACATCAATCACCAATCAAGAAGATGCTTACCTACAAGCTGGTAGATGGATTTTCTCAAGGAAGTTCATTCTTCTCAAAAGATTCTAGCTTAGTGTCATGGTGACACACAAAACTAGCCTGAACCGGATTTACTTGGTAATCAGGTAAATTTTAATCCTCTGCAGGCTGAGTGACTGATTAGAACATTCATGATTCTAAGGAATTGTTTGAGAGCCCAGAGCTTTGGTTACCTTCAGTAGCCCAACAATTACTTACATACCACTGTTGTATCTGACCAAATATCCATTTGATGATAAGGTAACTTCTTTGAAATACATTAATTAACTAAGTTAATAGCAAACCACCAGGTCCCCTTAACAGCAAACACAAGAATATCATTAGATAGCATCTAAATTTCACAACCAAGATTTGTAGTCTTTGCTGTAAACCACATGCTTGATTCTCCCATCATCATATTTGGCAAATGAACTCAATTATAACTTTGTCTTGCTCTGTGACTACAAAACATTATGAAGTCTACATCGGACATTTCTTACTTCTCTAATCCAAGCATGCACAGAGACTCTGTCTTAGTGAGCTTTTCTATTGTTGAGGCACAACACCACGACAAAAAACAATTTGGGGAAGAAAGGATTTATTTCATCTTACACTTCCAGTTAATGGTCTATTACAAAAAGAAATCGGGGCAGGAACTCAAAGCAGGAATTATGTAGAAGCCATTAAAGAGAATGATTAACAAATCATTCTTCAAAATGAATGTGTACATGCTTTTAGCAGTTGAATGTATTTTATTTTAAAAACCTGCAATCTAATATGCTAACAAACTTTGAATCTTACTTGAAAATCACAAAATGCTTCAGAAAGTTTTGTGTTTGAAGCTCTTCAGATCAGGAACCTAACGTATAATAATGAATCTCCAAACAACTGTTGCGTAAAACTTAGGAAAGAAAGATTATCTGTTCTCACGTGCAGGTAAAGGAAGTTTTGTAATTGCAAAGCTAAATGAACTCATGACTAAGGAAACTGAGGTAGCTGATTCCACCAGAAGCCATATTCTGATATAAAGTTAATTAAAAGGTCTGTATACATACAGCTCAAGAAATCTAAGCTTATGTAGTAATTAAAGATCACAGACTGGGAAAAGTGAGAAGGCAGGTAGCAGAAGGGATCCAGTTTAACTTTTATTGGAAAGAAGACCAGTTTTAACTGCACATAATTATTTCTTTCCATGGACGTGTATCCTGGCAGCTAGGTAACTGAGTTCACACTGGTAAAATCTATGTTGAGAAATGTTGAGCTCAGGTAAAAAGATTATTTAAAGCAAATTTGGTGCAAAAGAAGGAAGAATTCAAAGACCATTTGTATGTGTCTGTGTGTGTGGCTTATTCACGCACAGATTACACAATATAGTGTAGGCTATCTACCAATATTAGCACATCTTGCTTTCAACCTCCATGACATGTGCCAAAAAACTTGGCCTCCATCTCTTTACTAAACTAGGAAGACCTTGGCAATTCCATTCCTGTATCTCTAAGTCCATCCTAGAGCCTAATACATTATTAAACATTAAAAACAGCTTGTAATGACTTAATGAAAACTCAGACTTTTGTTAGTTTTACCTTGGTTTCGAACAGGGCTGACAAAATTGACGCCATGGACATTTCGCCAGTCCCAAGATTCTGGCAAATTTAAAATCTGTTGCTGTAGTTCAGCAGTCAGTGGGGCAGGTTTGGGCCTAGAATGGAAGTGCATATTTAGTGCCAAAATAAAGTCTTTCCTTAGAAGATGGCATCCTAACCTCGGGTTCCAAGGTTAAAGCCACCATAGCAGCTATTGTCTTGACTGAGAGTGGATGAACACTCTTGGCCCTTGAGTGGTGCAATGTGGCCGTTACACAATGTGTCGGTTACATAACTCAGCTGCATGAAAAGCTTTCGGTTACTGCAGACTTTCCGGATCTAGTCCTTTTCCTTGTTCAGTGAAAGCTAATTTTAGTATGCTTCCCCTTAGGACCTGCTCTTACTTCTGGTAGGTGTTGGTCAAGAAACAAGATACAAGTTATAGATGTTCATTAGAGGGACCAGAGAAAGCATAAAACTAACTGGTGTTTGACTCACTTTTGCAATATGTGACATTCTGCGAGGAACTTTAAAGTCACAAACTAAAGCTTATTTTTATGAAAACAGGTATACTCATGCCTATTTAAGAGGTTTTATGAGAAAAAACAATGTAATAATAATAACTCAAAAATTAAGACAAATTTGTAAATGGCATCAACACAGATGTCACTGAAAGTACTAAATAAGATACTGGCACTCTGAAATAATTTTTTGGCACAAACTAGGAACTGAAACACTAACTTCCATCTTCCTTTCATCCTATAAGGCACAGTATTTGGACACAACACATACATACTAAAAAGATAAAAGTGGGAACACAAATATGGACACAAACAAAAAGAAAAAGAGGAGTTCCAGTGTACTAACATGAGAATTAGAAACACTTTGCAGATATTATTTATTATCTGGTCTTAATGCCTCAGGCCTCAGTGTTTTAGAATCCAGTGAAATGTCTGTATCAGAAAGCAGCACAGAAGTGATATTTGCTTGTGATTTTAATGGTTTCCTGGCTTCTTAATCCTCAGGTTAAAAATATTTGAGACTTTCTAGTATACAGCTAGATATTTATAGCAGAATCAACTCACATACAAAAATTCTACTGGAAATCGAGCAGTCAGACCTCCCTATTTGCTGTGATGTTTCCTTCTCCATGTGACTTCCATCTTGATCTTAAACTTTCTATGGAGCTCTAGTGGTAATAATAGCTTTTCATAAAACAAAGGTTGGTGTGTGGACAGAGTCTAAGAAAAGGAATCTCCCTAAAACAAAGCATTGTAACATATGACAAATATAGTGTGAGGCTCAGGCTCTCGGAACAAGCTCTTGCCTTCTTTACTAGTTCCCTCTGCCTCAGATTTCTGTTAAACAGGTCTCAACTTTCTGTTACAGAGACATTAAGACTCTGTTTAGTGAATCCAGGAAAGGGACATTCCTTGTCCCAGTTTTGACTAAGCAGAGTAGCTCATTCACTAATAAACAGAGTTTGAGAGATATCATAGAATAGTCTATTGAGAAAGGGGATATTATTAGTTGGATAAGAAAAAGGCTATAGTGTCTCATAGTTGAATATTTCCATTGAATTGGTTCATTTGTCCACTGACAAAAAAGTGATGTATCTCAGCCAGTTCAAAGAGCTACAACATTGTGTGACTTATTTCAATCATAATTAAAAAAAATCAAAGATTCTATATATAATCAGGAATTAATCTTTGAATGCTGTGAAAATTAAAGAGTATTAAAATATGTTAAGGGAAAATAATCATCCTAAATAATTTATCGACTCTTACTGGTCTCTAGTTTTCTTCTCTTAAACCATGTTGGTTTCTCCTAAAGAAAAGTTTGGCAGGAAGAGCCTTAGATTCTTAACAAATGCTAAGGAACCATAAATCCACTCCTAGATCCAGCCATCATTCTAGAAAGATAGTACAGAATACTCAAATTCTTACTCAGATGAATAAAAAATTATGTATATATAAATACATAATATTTATATAATAATATAAGATATAAGATATAAAATATATAATATATAATAATGCTATATCTCTATATCTATGCATATATATATATATATATATATATATATATATATATATATATACATATATATAAAATTTGCCAAAACAGGAAGATGCAATGAGATTACAAACAAAAGATGGCACCGAATTTGTGGCTAGGAGTGGTGGTGGGAGGATAGAGTAAGTAATTATTTTTTTTTTCCTGAACCTTAAAACACCAAGATTTTCAGATTTTTTTTTTTTCTCAGTGGCAAATCTGATAGTTATAATTATCAAGCTGAAAAATATGTGAGGGAGCAGACGTGGTGGCGTAAAATGAAAATAAAGCTTTCAAGAATGTTTATCATAGTTTTTGAAAGCAAGTCAAGTAGTAAACTCAATTATGGACCTATTCAGATTACCTAGGATAGTAAGGATAAGTCTACTCTTTAGATTGTGGTCAGTAACAGTGAAATTGGCTAAATTTCAAGGAATGACTAAAAATGACATTAAGGAGAAGAGACAAGCTACAGGAATAAAAAGAGTGGAGACAGGATGTGAATTTACAGCACAGGAAAGACCCTAAAACATGATTTGGACAATATCCACAAATATGAAGGAAGGTGAAAGAAAAAAAGACAACAACAACAAACACAATTAATTGGGAGGACTAATGAGACAATGGGCCATCCAGGTGGGGCTGGTGTGGAGGAGGGTTCCCTTTAGTTCTGAAGTTTTTACTAGTAAAAAGGAGAGGTACCATGTTACCTTGGGATCCTTTGGCTGTGGCCACCACTTCTCTTAATCAGATCTCTTAGGTTCAGCTTCTCATATTCCTTGTATATGGCTGCAGTCCAAGACTTCTGAACAGTATTGATGGCCTTCACAAAGTTGTGGTTATAACTGTAGAGCCTATCAGAATATCTGCCAACAAAGCAACACAGCTTTAGATACGGTCTTCTCAGATAAAACAAGTCTCCAATCAAACTGATCCTCACACTGTATGTCAAGGTGGAGAGTGGTGTAGTCTTTTAAGAACATAGTTGTCACCAGAGGTGAGCTGGAAGCTACTGTTTCCTACAAAGACTCAATTAGCCATCTAGATATATGATGATATTCAGTAATCATGTATGTATTAATGGTAGATTGGAAATAACCAAGAGCAATGTCCCCAAACAAGGAACTTTTTAATGTAAATAGTACTTTATATGTATGTATTTCACACTACACAAAGCACAAAGGATTATTTAATGATACAAAAGGAATGTCTGCTGTATTAATTTTTAAAAGGTAAAGTTTATACAGATAAACAAAGCCGTGTTTATCTTTGTAGTTGACATGACAGTATCATCTTTTCTGCATGCCCCCTTTATCTATTTTATTTTGTATGCTTGAGAAAGGCTTTGGTCTCAAAATCATTAATGTATTCCGGGATGACTTTGCACTTCTGCTCCTCCAGTCTCTACTTTTAGGTGATAACATTATAGGCTTGCACCACCAAGCCTATGCTTAGTTCATGCAGCACTAAGCATAGATCCCAGCACTCCACACCTGCTAGGCTATCTGTCAAGCATGCCAAATGGATGTGTCCTTTTCAAAGTGCACTTTTCTAATCTGTTGTATGAACAAAAGATTGCAGCAAGTACATGCATACAAGTTTTGTACATATTCTAAGTATTATTCCATATAGGGGTTTTATGCCCTTGTTATTAAAAATTAGTATCAGCAGAAATATCTGGGAATTTTAGGCAACGTGGACCACACTCAACCCAGACCAATAAAATCAGGCTCTGAAATAAGTTTTCCATGTCATTTATAAAAACATGAGAATTATTTGTCTATTTTGTGTGAAATACTCGGCTATGGATGCAAAAATAACGCAAAAAGCACATGTTGACAAACTTGTTAATTATTCACTGAATTCCAACACTCATCACACCTGTGTGTCAGTGGAGAGCAATTACATAGTGACTGTGCACTCCTACTGTAACGTAGTCTATGGTCTGAGTGAATGTAAGTCACTGTTACATTTTTGAGAAGCATTGTCACTTACTTCCTTTGCCAGGTCACAGTAGCTAAGAGAGTTTCATAAGAGAGCTTCATACACTGACATATGCATCAGAGTAACGACAAGCTGCCATCAGAGCTCTTTTTTTGATAATTTAAATTTACTTTTTATAATTGATTCACTTTATATCCTGATTGTAGCCCCCTCCCTCATCTCTTTCCTGTCCCACCCTCCCTCTCTCCTCCTCTTCCCCCCGATTCCTCAGAAAGGGGGAACCCTCCTCTCCTACCATCTGACCCCAACCTACCAAGTCTTATCAGAACTGCCTGCATCCTCTTCCTCTGTGGCCTGGCAAGGGCTCCTCTCTAGGGGGAAGTGATCAAGGATCAGGGAACAGAGTCCATGTCAGTGACAGCCCCATGCTGCTCTTATTAAGGAACCCAAATGGAGACTGAACTGCCTATCAGCTACATCTGAGCAGGGGGTCTAGGTCTTTTCCATGCATGGTTGTTGGTAAAGGGCTAAGATAAAAAATAATAATAATCCTCATGTGACAGCACATGCTGAAGAGAATGTGGAGAAAGGGAACCCTCCTCCATTGCTGGTGGGAATGTAAACTTGTACAGCCACTCTGGAAATCAAGCTGGCGCTTTCTCAGATAGTTAGAACTAACTAGTGCTACCTCAAGATCTAACTACACCACTCTTGGGCATATACCCAAAAGATGTTCCGCCATACAACAAAAACATTTGCTCAGCTATGTTCAGAACAGCCAGAATCAGAAAACAACCTGGATATCCTCAACTGAAGAATAGATACAGAAATTGTGGTACATTTACACAATGGAATACTACTCAGCTATTAAAAACAAGGATACCATGAAATATGCAAACAAATGGATGGAAATAGAAAAAGCCATCATGGTATTTAAGGGTTATTTTTGGTGTCTTAAGAGTGAAGAAGATTAAAAAAGATCAAGTCAGTTTACATTCCAGTGTGGATGGGATGGCCTCCTGAGACCACACCCTTACATGAGAGCTCCTGGCTGGAAGGGTTGGAAAAATGAATTTTTTTTCTTTCTTCTTTTCTTTTCAGGCATATGGCTTCAGAAAAGTTGTCTGGCTACAGTGGAGAACTTCATACCCACAAGGGTACCAGCAGCTCAAATTGTACTCAGTGAGTTATAAAGGAAAAGGGGTTAAAAAGAAAAAGAAGAAACTGATAAGTTTGGAGAGATCATGGAAGAGTGTGGTCTGGGAGAAACAGGAGTGAGTGGAGGGTAGATATGAGAAAAATACATTATATACATATCCGAAATTCTCAAAGAATAGATAAAAGTAAAATAATGTATCCAATATCACGTAACAGATCACGAAGAGCTGAAAGAGATCTTAAAGTTACTTTAATCTCAAAAGTTTATTTTAAGGATCAGGAAGTGCAAGAGAGATTCCTCACAAAGTGGTTACAATGGTTGAAAGTTTCAATCAGGTTCACCAGTAAGTAGCACCCCAGAAAGGATGCAAGCTGAACAGCTTGTAAGAAATGATTCTGCTAAAGAAACATGCCACATAAATCTACTGAAACACTGAACTTAAAAGGAAGGGCCGCATTGTCCTCTACTGTGGCCTGCAGCCCTTCCTTTTAAGTTCAGTGTTTCAGTAGATTTATGTGGCATGTTCACTGTTGATGAGAACTGATAGACTAAGATCAGAATGGAGAGGAGAACCTCCCCTATCAGTGGACTTGGGGAGTGGCATGCATGCAGAAACGGGAGGGAGGGTGGGATCGGGAGGGGAGGAGGAAGGGGCTTATGGGGGGATACAAAATGAATAAAGTGTAATTAATAAAAAATTAAAAAAAAAAAAAAGGAAGGGCCGGATCAGTTTCCATTTTGGTTAGCCCTCCGGGAGACAAGAAAGAAGAGTAAGGCATCTTTCCAGACACATCTTCGTGACCTCACAGCTTCCAGTTATTCCTTGCCAGGATCACGAGGCTCTGAAGATTTGGTTCATGTGTACGTTTATAGTGGCTTTTACAAGTAAACAAAATGGAAAAGGAAATGATACTTATTGATCCTCCTCTTGCAAAACTAACAATGCCAGAAAATTCTTGTTTGTGTGGCTCCTTATGGCAGACGCCTGAATGAAAATAGTAACTGCCTTTTATGGCTGAATTTTATTTTTTTGGAAGAGGAAGGGAGAAATATTGTTAATTATAATCTCAAGCAGAAAAAAAAATTAAAAAGAAATACGGAAAACCCTTCCCTCCAATATCTCAGCCTGAGATTGTATTTAGAAATAGGTCTTTAAAGAGGTGATAAAGGCCGAGTGAGGTCATTAGTGTGGGCTCTGGTCTAGCTTAACTAGGGTCCTGAGATGAAAAGGTTAGGATACAGTAAGGAAGGCCAAATAAGGACACAGTGAGGAGGGGGAGGATCCAGCAGCAAACCAGGAAGAAACCAAGTTCCAGCATTCAGAACCCAGAGCAAAAACTTTCCTTTCGGCTACCCAGCCTACAATGCTTCTAGGTGACAGCCCAAGCAAATACAGCACTGCAGAAACACCAACAAACTTAAATTTCAGTTGCTTTTTATGTTTACCGTCTGTTGTGTGTGGAAATGAACACTTGTTGTAGTATCACATACATGTATTGTGCAAGACATTACTATACCACAACCAATGAAATGACTTTTCTTTATTAGTAATTTGTGATTTTTCTGTGGTTCCTTTAACCATGTTTTTGTGTTTAACCATTCCCTGGTTCATTGGTTTTGAAATGTGTTGAAATATTACCTTTTTGGTCATTTCCATCAATTCACATATATTTCCAGTACAATTTTATGTAACATGGCTAAGGTCATAAGCCAAAATGACAGCTTCCAAAAGCGAACACACACTCAACCCACACGCCACATAAAACAAAGCTAATTGGAAGTATCCCAAGTCACAACTCACCTTTCCTGGAGATTTCCAAGGTGTGCCACTTTTACATTTGCCACGTTCGCCTTCTCAGAAGCACTTCCTATCTTCTTCCCAACAAAACAAGCCCAGTTCTGGCCTAGCACATCATGGACCCACCCAGTCATGGTCTCATGGCAGTAACTGACGACTGTGCTGCCCTTGACTTCATACTGCAACCAAGTGAGAAAATAAAAGACCAATTAAACCTGTGCTTGGCTCTCAGGTCTGTTTTCTTGGCTCCTATTTACTCTAAAGATGCATTGTGGCCCTCTGCCAACCAAAATAAATCTTCAGTTTAGCTGAGGATGTTCCGATAATTACTCTAGAAAAGCAGAGAAACCAATTTTTCTAAGATTAGCATTGTCAGCCTCCAAACTGAATGCAATTCTAGGAATGAAAAAAATGGCTATGGAAAAAGCTCACATTTTAAAAGCAGCTATCATATCTAAAGCATTTTGCATTTATTTCTCACAATCAGTCTATGAAAAAATAACAACCTATCCTGTATTTCTGATAACATTTCAGGAAGAGTCATCATTCCTCCTGAGGACCACAGGGCTGTTAAAGTGGCAGGGACAGAATTTTCCTCCTCTGGTTGTTTTGCTGTTGTTGTTGATGGAAGAGGCTCCCATTAGTCACAACCCATATTTTCTGTGTAGCTAAACAAAATCCTTTTTTGCTGTTAGTCTCCTGATGTATTAGAATATGCCCATCGAGAGGCAACTTAATTACTGGTTCCACTTTATTTCAGTAATATGGCCCTTTGAATGTTTACATGTTACCACTGAAAGAATACTACAGTGACAGACCCAAGTTTGAATCCAGGCCCATGGCTCTAGAGCCAGATTACTTTCATACAATGACATCTCACTGGGGAGGAGGACATGACCACAATGAGCAGGAGGGAGGCAGGCAGAAGGAAGAAAGGCATGACCGTTAGTTAAGTTTGAAGGCAATTCTACTATACCATATTTAACTGTAAAACAAGGACACCACAAAAATGTCACACGCAGAAGTGTGACACTGGGACTCAGTTGTCCAGTGCAAGTTGATAAGCACGTCCCCGAATTGCCAAACCCAATACTTTAGGCTGTGCAGCGTGTCAGAGCTTATATCTGTTGGGCTCTAGGACACAGATGGACAAGTTAAGTGTAATAAATGATGCATTTTTTGACACAATTATTTCCAACACACAATGTGCTTACCAAGATCTCAGCCAAGTTGAGAGACAACCACATTGAACTATACAAAACTTCTGTTATCACTAGAGTAAATATTCGTGATTTTATCCAGTATACCCTGAATCCCATAGACTTTAAACCATGTGTTTCTTTTTGGTACTAGTTTTTGGTCATATTCATTGGTCCTCTCTTGTGTGCTAAGATGAACCAGGTAGGCCTCAGAGAGAATGCCTCTTTCAGCTCTGCTGACTGGAAAGCAGCCTTAAAATATCAGAGCCCTGAAATTTTCCTTACAGCAGAATGTCTCTGTTTCTGTCTCTCTCTGTAACAATATGTCAGTAAACTTTTACTGGAAAATAATAGAAAAAGAAAAAAAGAAAGCCTAAAATGTTTCAAATGTAAAAATTGAGAACATGTTTATTAACTCATAAAATTTTGCAAGATTAATAAGAAAGGGTGAGTTGACCAAGGCCCAGGAAAATCACTGTACAACCGTTTTCTTGGACTCCTGAGAAGCAGAGCCACCTACTAATATTAATACACTGTATACAGCTGCTTTTCTACCACAAAGGCAGAAACCCTCTTATAAACACTGTACCCATTCCTTATCCATCTTAGGGATTCAAGACAACGCACAAATGACACTCTCAGAGGGCAGAAATAAAGGATCTATGAGATTTGTTAAACTAGAGTTTAACAGCAAACACTCCTACAATCAAACGTTGCTCTCTGTACCATGCAGCATTTCTTTATCTACTTCTCCTTCACAAACAGCTGGAGTGGTAAATGATGCGAGGGAGAGAAAACCAGAAACTACAGAGCAAATGCTAAATTCCTAATTGTGTTTCCATGTGTGTTATCCCAACCTCCATAAAGCCTCTTGGGATAAGGAGAACTAGTTCTCTGAATGTAGTACTGGTAGCCCTGCAAAGAGGATGAGGAGTGCACTCCTGATACTCATGTGTTACTGTTAGTAAGTTAGTCAGGTTAGTTAGTTAGTTAGTTAGTTAGTTAGTTAGTTAGTTAGTTAGTTAGTTAGTTAGTT